GCACGCACACACAAACACACATACGTCAAGGTCCCAGACATCCCAGCTTGACAGAGAGGCAGACAGGCCGGCCTGTACGCAGCTAGCAGGACTAGGTGACCGAGATGGCTCATTGTCTCGTTGTTTTTTTTACTGAAACGTTATTCGGTAGCTCCTCAAACACTCTATAACTGCTAGGAGACATCTTCATTGTGTGAAATATTCCACCTTGCCGAATAATAATGTTTAAACCCGTCATTCAGTGGAAATTTAGCCAGGAGGGCGGTGGTTAGGCTGCCCTGGCGGTGTTCATTGGCCTCGGTTGAAGAGCCGACGGGCATTCACTCCGTCATCAGCCTGAATCAGATGACCTAAGATGATTATAGCAAATCCAGCTGATCGCCGCCGTGCCAGCTGGGCCAGTGATGAAGCCTGGCTCTGAGGCACGGATGCCCGAGCACATGGGTGTCGGGATGTGGGGCGGGGCGGGTGAAGGGATTGCCGCCCACCAGGCCGCTCTCTCAACGTGGTGGGGAGGGGAGGATCCCGATCCAGTTATGCAAAGGATTTGATGGCTTCTGGCTTGGAGTCACTCCATGCCTGGCCAGTGATGCAGCTCAGGAATGGGCCGAGAGTGAAAGAGATACAGACAGACAGCCACCAGCTTGTCCTAAAAACCTCACAGGAATTTGCCCTCGCGGCAGCAAAGCAGCCCTGGGTTTTATCCCTCCTGTGATACAACAAGTTGTGTAAAATGATCCGCTGATCCTCCCCCGTGTAGGTCTGGTGTCTGCAGACACATCGACGCGTCCACCTTTGTTACTTGGCCAGACAGAATTACACAACATAAGCGTGTTTCAGGTGAACAACTTTGGCTGGGACTCCCAAAAGGTTTTCGAGCACTGTGAGCATCTTTCTGCTGTTGGAGGTCGATGAGGCTGTGCAGGCTTGGGGGGGGGGGGGGGGGGGGGGGGGGGTACAAACACAAGCCCTGCTATCGTGCAAATAACTGTGTGATTTGAAGAAACTAACAAACAAATGGTCAAAGCACGATGGTCTCATGGGCCGAGAGAAAATGCAAATGGTAAAGAAATCAACACAGAAAGTAATTTGTTACCTTTACTGAAGTTACAAGGTAAATACATAACCACAGAGGTCTGTACTGTAGAGGCTTATGTATAAAAGGTTTCACTCTTGGGCTCTCTTTCAGTCTGGGATGGCTGCTGTTTAACTGCTGTTACACTGATCTTCACTAACTGGCCCTCACCAAACACAACAAACCTACTGGGCAACAATATGAAGCAATGCACTAGATAGACCCACTCGCTTATTCTTTTGTTCCTCAATGCATCACGTTATCTTCGGTTTTGTCCCAGTGTTAGATATTGTTTCTTCCACCTCAGTTCTCCCAAATTCATCCTTTGAGTTATGACCCCCGGAGGTAACATTAATAGGAAGCATTGCTCAGGTACCTTCATGCTACCTTTCCTTCTTAATGTGCTGGATGTGTTATTATTCTCTGATGGTTTCAAATGAGAGAATCCATCCCGTGGAAATGCAACGCTAACGCATGCACCAAGTGAAACAAGTGTTCTGACCACTTTTGTGCTCGGTCCTCATCACATTTTTTGTGCAAAGAACATTTTGTGTGTACCAGAGTTGCAACGAAACCTTGTGCTGTGATACAACAAATCATCAGATCCGCCTCAGTCCATTTGAGCCGTGAGGTCTTTTAAAAACGTGATTCTGGTTTAGAGTTGAGTCAAATTAGTTGCCCCGTTTGTCACACATAGTTGCCCGTTGCTGCGAACACTGCTCTAGAAGTTGCCCTGTATATGTCGAGTGCTGTGCAAGACTCTCCGGTTACAACCAAACCTAAACAGATGAACACTCAGCAGCTGATCGCTCAGTCGGAGGCTGCGACATTAAACCCCGCACAACCAAAGAACCCACCCATCAACAATAAATTGACCAAACAAAAAATATAATTTTGCTTGGGGCAAAGTGTTGCGAAACAAGGGGTTGCGTATAGCTGAAAGCCAAGGTTGTTGGTAGCCTTTCTCTGTGATATATATAATGTATTATGATTTTGTAAACAAAAGATCTTAATATATGAATATATTCTATTTACTGTATTCACCATGAGGACCACCATTCTCGTCAACCTCTGTGCTACAGACTGTAAATAGTGTTAATGTATTGTGTTTTATCTATGATCCATACGATGAACGAATGAATATGATTTAGGTCATGTCATGCTTTCTTTCTGGTACCCCACATTGGCTGTACGATACTACTTTTTTACTGAAAATGTTTCAATTTTAATGTCTTTTGTAAAGGAGGATGCTGATGTTGACTATATATCATTGGATCTTCATCTAATAAAATGCACCTTGATATCTGAATGGACTACAGTGTTCGTTTCTTCTCACGCAACCTTAAATCTCAAGAGTGTCGAGCACTTTAAAGGGGCACTTAAATGATGCACCTTAATTGTTAAATTCGGCGATTCACTCACAAGTGATATTTTGAAAGAAATGTTTAAAACTTGAGCCGACATTTTTTTGAAGCGTTCATCGTTAGACCATCCCTGCTCAGTAAGCTCCCCCGCCTTTTAACCTCTTCCGTTACCAATTCAAACCATTTTAAACCAAATATAGATTATCCCCGTTCTATTTTCTTATGCTTTAAGCTGCGATTTTAGCTTTGCTTAACGGTCACCACTGAGGCCACAAGCGACAATAAGGGTGTCATTCTAAATGTTAAAATCTTAAGGCCCTGAGCCAAACTGTGCAGAAGTTAAGATTAAGCCACTGTTATTTTTAGGTGGCATTGTAAACTTAATTGTTTAGAGACGTTGGAGCATACAAATTGATTTTCTCGGAAACCGTAAATAAATTAGCTGACCCATTTTCTAGTTCATGTGATTTTTTTCACGCTGTCCCCCACCTCATTGTAGTTGCAGCGTTTTGGCTTTGTAGGACCGTGGCCCTAATGTCTCGTTAGCTAATAATAGCTACCATAAGTAGGGGTGGAGCATCTAAGCCCCGTGGTTTTCAACTGAGGAAGAGTTTGTTCGCAGTCATTACGAGGTGGATGTTTGTGTGAATTGACCAGGCATCCCCAGATAGTGTGGGCACAAAGCCCGCTGCGACTGAACCGCCATATCCGATGGTGACATTTCATTGTCCCCATGGTAACAAGTGCATCATCTGTTACGAATAGGGAAAAATCAACATCAGCAGCACCGCTTCGTTTCGCCTCCGTGAGGATGATGCTCATGTGCGTGCAGAGGAGGGTTATGGGTGCAAGAGTCACCTTTTAGTCTTGCATTAATCAAGCATCTCGTCATGCTTACTCTCCTCCTCCTTCCTCCCTCCCTCCTCCTAACTCCCACTCCACTCTCATATCTCGCTTTCCATTTATCTTCCATTATCATCATTTAGCCCCTCCCCTCCTCCCCCTGTCCTCCCCCTGTAGTGTTGTTTCCAACCATCCTCCTGGGCTGATTTCCCTCTCTCTGTCCGACTTGGCTAACCCACTCCAAATCTCACTGCAGCAGATGGTGCTGTGTTTGCATTGGGTGAGGTTTCCTAGCAACCCGTCACTTTCTCTCCCTCTCTCTCTCTCTTAAAGCAGAGCGGTGGAGGAGTTGGGGGTCCTGCACTGTCTGGGTCTGCCATGCCCACCCCTGCTCCGTCTCTTTGATTGACCCGACCGCCTCTCGGTGTTGATGTCTATGTTTACGTCTGTGTCTCTCTCTCGGATGCTAAAGTAGGGCAGGGGCTGACTGTCTGGATTACTATACATGTGTAATGATTAAATTGGATGTACAAAATGGGCAAAGCATGACACACAACAACCAACGTGATTTGTCCCCCCGATGCGACCTAGATTTGTTACAGATGTTCACATATGTTGCGACGGCAGGGAAAGATCACATCTGGGCCATGCTGGGCTTAAAGCTCACATTCATGGCATTTATAGCTGCTAATTGTAGGTTAAGGTTTTTGTTTTTTTTATCATCCCAGGATCCGACATGCTGATGAAAATACACCATCAAGTCTGCATGTAGAGACACGCAACACTGTAGATAGAGTCTGCCACACACAAACACACAGCTGCACTTTACAAAGACAGGAGGGCAAATAAGGACCCGCTTGAATCCTTACATGGCATTGGTTCTTGTGCTTTCAATGCTACCTCTGGCCTGCAGACACACACACACACACACACACACACACACACACACACACACACACACACACACAGCTGAGGGGAAAAACAATACAAATGGCAGACACATGCCATGCAATGATGCGGGCTGTCCCTGATTAATTGCTTTAATTTACTTTTCCAGCTGCATCACTGAGACAACACAAACACTTGATCATTCTCCTTGAAGTCTGTTGACTCGTAGCACAAAGAGCAACAACCCGCTGCTTCACGAGAGCGCCGAATATCTTTTTTTGTGTGTGTATTTTCGTTAAATGAAAAAAAGTGCCATCTCACTTCTAAAAGCTTGTGTTGTTGGCTACACCTAAGTGGCACCAGATATCGATGATCATTACGAAGCGTCCCCGAGGGATCTTCTGCCCCAGCGTTTAAAATCTGCCTTTGTGGCTCCCTCTTCTTTTTGAGGGGAATCATTGGCCCCTGAGGGAAGCAAAGTGCCCCCTGTTTGTTTGCTTACTCGGGTAGAAGTACCCACAGGCCCCGGCGGAGAGAGGGGAAGGCTTCCCCCCCCCCCCTCACCCTGTGACCTCATATCTATATCATGCACTCAAAAAGCAGGCCGAGGACAGCCTCCCTAGAGAGCAATGTGCAAGGCCAGCACAAAACAATGCATTCAGAAGGCCCGGTGTGATTACACTTTGCTGTTCAGATAAACCCTCCCATAAAAAGGAAGAGCGACACTTTTACAACACAAGGCGTGTTCCTTTCAGGTGAATTCGTCTGCAGCTTGGCTCATTACATGCTCAGGATCCACCAGGTGACTTATGGGAGGTCACTCAGGACAGAAGCTGCAGGACATAGTGTTTTTGTGTGTCCAAGAGCATTTCAAGCTAGTCTGTAGAAAAGAAAGCGTGTGCACACGTGGGGAACAAGTGATTGATGCAGAAGGGATTTTTCTCTCCTTTTCTAAGAATCAAGGTATTACCCCAGCAAACTGTCTTCTAAACTTAACCCCCCCATGGAGAGCGAGGCAATTGAAGTGTTTAGCTTTTGTCTCAGACACACATCAGTCATCCGAGTCTCATGGGCTGCACACGTACCTCGTCTCCATGACAAGATCCTCGCATGTTTCTCGGGATGCTTAAGAAAAGGTAATTCATTCTAATCACAACATCCCCACCTCAATCCAGTCTAAATCAGCAGTAATTCTGCATTAGTGAAATGTTTGTGTGTAGTTAAGCTGTTTTAATTGGGATGAAAGTCCAACTTATTTCCAGTTAGTAAGCCTAAGAAGGTGAATAAAACTAAAGAAGATGAATTAAACTAGAGTTCACAAGTGAAACAATGTGGGATTGAATCCTGCTCAGAAACACAATCACATCTTATCTCTGTGCCTGTAATCCATCCACATTGTGCAGCTGCTATCAAGTAGAAAATAATGTTTTAAAGACTATAAAGGAAACTAAATAAAATACAATTGGTGGACTGTTTTTAAAAAAAATCCATTTATTTTCTTGTTTAAAGTAGTTTGTAAAGTAAAGTTTCATTTTTCTTGATTCCAGAAAAAAAAACATTTTCTTTTCTTGATTCAAAATACAGATACTAATTCCTGGAAATGTCTTGGAAAACAAGTACATGTTCAATGGAAACAGATTGAAATTGTCTGAATGCAATTACAGATTAGTTTTCACTTCTGACAGAAATATAATTTTTACAGAGATTCGAACAGAGAGGACTTGACAGGATGGAGATTTATTTGCCCTTTAATTATATTTTGGTCTGCAGAGATCAATAAAATGAAACCTGGGATACATGATGGCCTTGAAATGAAGAATTAACAAAACTCATGAATGAAATAAATTAACAAATATGAACCTTCAAAGAGAAAATAAGGAAGTAGAGTAAAAACTAATTTTGGGAAACATTTTGTAGGTCGTTTCCCGTAAGCCTAATTTTAGATCGTCATATGTCAGATATTGATTCAACAACAAATTAAAATGTTTTGGATCACACAATGTTTCGCAGCCCTTCTATATGATGTTTCAGCACAAAGAACAAAAAGTTAACACAGGTTCAAAATGAACCTCGTATGCAGCCGGACTATAGGTTTATATCTGTCCACACGACTGACTGAACAACCAGCCCGCACCTGTCAGTGAACCTGCAGATGTGTGTGAGGCTGGTGGGTCCCTGCTGGACTCTGCTGCTGTTGGAGAGCAGAGGGGAGACGAACGCAGATTCTGCTGCAGCTGCCAGGAGACCTGCTGTAAGGCTGCTGAGCTCAGGACTGCAGAGACTATAAATAGCTCAGCTCAGCCGTTCACAGGCACCACCCACTACATTACCCATGTGGCAAAACAACAGCACAGAGCAAAACAACACCACTGCATATACTGTACTACATGCAACGAAGAGCAGAGGCAGCCTGCTCACTGTGGACATGAAGTGATAGAGAAACTGAAGATTAGGGCAAATCCTTCAGGCGGGAGAATTAGACCAATATTTGTACTGAAAAAAACAACGTTCACTAGTTTTAAAGTAATAATCTCACAGATTTTAATTTACATGTGTGGTAAACCACTATCCATCAACAGATGAGGGACCACAAAAAGGTGATTGAGCCTATGGCCCACTAAACTCCTGCATTTGCAGTATTACACATTTTGGAGACATTCCCAGAAAATTAAATCACGATCAGCACTCTCTGGGAAGTGAGACCGAAGAACACATCTGCAGTCACCGCTTATGGCCATAGGGAATAAAACGGAGATCTTCAAGATTGTAACTTTAAAAAGGGGACATATTATATATAAAAAAAAAGTTATTTTTCAGTGCTCGTGCAGAAATGTATCTGAAGTCAAAGCCAACCCACAAACTGTGAAACAACCCGGTCAGTTTTTTGTGTGTTGCTCTGCTGCCAACATGTGATTCAAGCCATTCAGATTTGGCTGGCTCAATTTATGAATTTGAACAATGATGTAAAGCAGACAATGAGAAGGTGAAAGGCTTTTTTTAAACTACAGTAATAGTCACATGTATACTGTATTTTGTCTGTTGTGCTTCGCTCGTCATTTCCCAATTTTCTCAGCCAAGTGTCGCTTTGAGTTCAGAAAGAATTCCTCATGAATAGGTTAGGGAAATAGGGATGACAAAGTATTAAATTATTGCTTGTGAAATTCGAAGTTGTAATACATTTTAAATAATTATCAATCTCATTAACTCATTGGTAACGTACTTCTTTTTTTTTTACAATCCAATTGAAGGCTAAAGGAAAAGGTTTTATATTTATTTTTAATTTGTATGAAGCAACTTCATTCTGTCAGGTATATAGACATTACTCCACATTATATCTTTACACAGCAAATACTTGTTTGCTACTATAGTAATGCTCCGAATATCATTCATAGAACCTTTAATCATTTATATTAGTTCAATAAATCCTAGCGAATCTCAAACGACTGATGACGTCGAACAAACCGATTGAAAACACCCGTGTGCCTTTTGTGTTGAAATTGGACATTATCTAAACAGACCAAACCTACTTCTACATTCTATCAAACCAGGAAGTTAATATACGTTAATTGCACTCACCTGCCAACTGCCAGAGAGCCTCTAGATAAGGGAAGGAACATTTCATTAATCCTCCAAAATCACACATCACTGTAATTAACTACCTGAATCTCTGCAGCAACAGTTCCGCCTTGTTGTTGAAACGCTGTTACCTCACTGGACTTTCTAAATTTTTGCCGTTTTGCACGTTTATGGCCCTCGCTAGGGGTTAACGAGGCACACCTGGTCTGCCTGTACCTGACAGCAGGTGTGGCTCGTTAACTGCCATGAAGTCCTGCAGGACTTGTCTGAAGTTATTGATGGATCAAAGTGTGCCAAAATACAAAACAATGTTCTAAATATATCTTCTTGAGTTTTCTGTTTCCTGTTAAAAACTGCAGTCTCGCACTGCAGATACGAGGGAATAAGACTCTTATCAGAAGATGTGGTTGATCCTGGAGCAGCCCAGATTAGGGATTTCTGTAATCTCAGCACAGTGGTTTCAGATTAGGCTGATTTATTTGCTCCTTGCCTCCAACATGTCTGCTTTGGGGGATATTTTCTGTCGTAAACATGTACTGCTGGACGAGCAGGCAGGTTGGAGTTAAAGCACGACTTTCTGCAAAGTAAATTTTTCCCCGTCTCTAATTGGACAATATCTTTTTTGGAAATTGAATGGCAACAATGCGAGCACTTTGAACCGCATGAGTCAATGCTTTTACTGGAAAAGAATCTTACCCGCCCAAAAAATCAATTAGGTGCATTAGGATTTTAGCTCTGCTCTGATGTAAGGTTAAAAGAGTTATCGAGCCACTTCTCTTGCTCAGGCACACGCAAACAAGCATCTTATTATATCTGCACTAAAAACATTTGCATTCATCACATAAACGTACATATTATCTCCTGTGAAAAAAAGCTGAAATGCAAGGTCTATTAATTAAAAAACAGTAATCAGCGATTATGTAACATCCAGCTTTTCCAAGAATAACACCGTGTAGAGGAAAAACAGAACACATCAGGTGAACGGGCAGAGACACAACGGTGCCCTCAACTAGCTGACGTAACTCGTTTCCTCTTCACTAATTACATTTCATGATAGCAGACTGTAGCCGACTCGTCCGACACCATAAGAACCACAGTCGTATCTGGGTCTGTATTATTGAGTTGAAATATTTATTTTAATTAAAAACTGAAAAAATAAAAACAAACCCACCAACATAGTTTTAGTATATCATACAAAGACATATTTCAATGTTGCTATGTGAGTGTTTGTTTCTCTTTGACTACAGTGTGAGGCAGTTTGAAAGGCTGGCGAGAGAGAGAGAGAGAGAGAGAGAGAGAGAGAGAGAGAGAGAGAGAGATTAATTAAGAATATTTGGGCAAAAATACAACCAAACAACCCTCAAGGTGCATTCAAATCATCTTTCTAGACACTTGAAATACCGTATGAAATGTGTCTTTTATGTTTTACATTCCAATTTCTAATGAAAACAGCTACCCAGGTGTGGAAGAAGTGACAGAACACATCTAAAATCATGATTAAGTACAGAGACACCCGGACCCAACAGTAATGCAATTAATAATTGCCGTTTGTTTAACCTTCTTGGGGCAGCAGATGGGTGCGAAAATGATTTCAAAGTCTGACTAATAAAACACTGTTCTCTCTTTTAAAGCACCCATCTGCTTCTGCAAGTGGTTTAAAACTAGTTTTTAAGAATTATTGGCAAATACCATTTGACCAGCGTCTGTTAAATAAACCAGTGTCACAACCTCTTTTTTTGTTTTTTTTAGATACACAGCTGGAGCAGAGCGTCAAAACAAAGTATGTTAAGACACAGAGAGAGAGAGACAAAGGGAATCATCATGGTCGCCATCAAACAGGAAGAAGAAATCAAACGGATGCCTACTCCTCTCATGGTTTGCACAAAGGCATGATCAGTCTGCTCACAGAGTCCACTGGCAACAAGTTCAAAGTCAGTCCATCAGTCTCAGTAGGAACTTCTGTTAAATAACAACATCTCTCTCCTGTGGCTAGCGAGTGCACCATTCCTAATTCAATTAAACTGAATCCTTACTTGGAGAGATGCAAAAAAAAAATAGTAATAATGCTATTGAATGCTTTTTAGATTAAACGAAAGCAAAAGATTATTTCCAACAAAAGAAGGCTTGTAGTTTATATACACAGCTACTTGGTCTTTAGGAAGCTATTGAAAACACTTCAGAGTCCATTGTGGTCCAGGCAGACTGTTAAGTTCATGAAGGATGTTTAAAACTGCAGTCCTGCAGGGTATGTGAAGAGGCAGGATCATGTTGATAAACCAGATACAACATTTCATGAATAATTGTGTAAGTGTCCCGACGTCCGAGTCAGAATTTCAAACTTTTTTAGGATTTCCTTTTGTTGCTACTGCAGATTTTTCTCTGTCCGAGAGGGGGCAGTCCTTTCTTCTGAAAAACCCTCAGCAGAAGTCCTCCAGGAAGTAATCGAGCGAACGACTTGGATGGCCGTCTACCAGAAGACGACGCGGTTAACAGTCCATTATGTTACAGGAGCCCGGCTGCACCTGCACAGCTGCTGCTTCTGTGACAGATCTGTTGAGGTGACCGATGTCTGTATGCACCAATAAGGGTCTTCAACTTTCTTTAACAACTGTTGCTTTAACTGCTGTTGCTTTTTTCTTGTATATAAAAAGGAAGTTTGCCTCCCTCTACCTCCTTTAACCAATATAAAAAAGGGGAAATGAGAAAAACGACCCCACGTCTTTAGAGTTTGAGCAACGACTTTCTCTCTCATCAGTCCTTCCCACGATGCACCGCTACCGCCGACGATGTAGCACGAGGGAGTCGGCAGTCTCAAAGCTCACAGGGAGACGACTGTTGAGAGAAAAAAAAACTTTCCTTTTCTTTTTCTGAAAGTACTCCTGATTTTGGAGCACATTTAAGAGTTTCCATGCAAGCGAAGAAAAAAAAAAAAAAAAAAATAGGGTCGGCTCGAGTAAACAGTCACGGTCGTTAATGGTAGAGAGGTGAAAGGCAGAAGGTCCAGTGAACCAGGCAGTGAAGCGGTGTGGACTTGATCAGGTGATAACTCACAGTGAGGAAAGAATAGGAAGAAACTGGGGAGGAAGATTAAGACAGATAGACGGCCTTTCAAGCTCACAACACTTGTTTTAGGAGGAGAGCAGGCCATCTATGTTACACAGAGACATGATTTGGGGAATGGGGAGGGGCAAGAACAGTCCTTCTTATTACTGCTGAGAGTTTGGCCCTAGTGCAGTGCATCCTGGGATGTCTTGAGTTGAACTTGTGCTCTTTGCGTCTCCATTGTGACTCCTCGACGGAGTGCCGTTATTAAAAAAAACGGGCAAGAAAAAGATAATAAATACTCCGTAGAACAGATCCACTTCACTTTGACAGCGTTTCATCCAACACAGTCCTGGAGGAGAGGCATGGCAAACCTCCCACTCCTCACATCTATTGGTTCCTCCCCCCCCGTCGCTGAACCCTTGGACATGGGTGGAGAAGCAGGTTTAGAAAAAGAAGCACCTTTTAATTTGGCTTCGATGACAAACAAAGAAAAGAGAGAGAGAGAAGAACACAAGGAAGAAAGAGGGTGAAAAGTGTATAAATAGAAAGAGGCAGGCAGAAGCCGGTCTTGTGGCGTAGGAGGGGGACGACAGCGCTGGCAGGTCTCAACCTGTGCCGATTGAGAAAGAGACGGATTAATGTTAATTGTTTGGGGGTGTATTTAAACTATAGTGGTCGTCCTCTGCCTTACCCTCTTCTTGCTCGCCCCAGCCTTCCGCTACTCCGGCCAGCTCGTAATGTTTCTTCCTCAGCTCGCCGAGACGCTCGCGCTCCCTCTGCAGACGAGTCTCCAGCTCCAGAACCAGGACCTGAGGAAACACAGACACGAGCAGACGACAAACACACACCCGTCATTTCCCTGCAAGCCACGAAATACCTCCTTGTTTTTATGAGTCACACACAGAAAATAGTTGCATGGAGACAGAATAGGAGGGAACAAATATTATTTTTCTTGGGTCTCATGCAAGACACTTGATGAACTTACTCCTCATTATTTTACCTTTTCCCTATGATTTGATTTTTATATACAATTATTATACACAAATGTCGGGGGAATGTTGTAGGAGCCACAACACAGAGTGAAGTGTTCATATGGGCGCTCTCTCTCAATGGACGGAGAACAATACACCTTTTAGTCTGATGTGGAAACTTCAGACATAAACTCACATATCATCCGTCCTGATAGATTACTAAATATTTAATTCCTAAAATAAGATTTCCTCATGCTGTGGGCTAAATGGGAGAGAGAATGTTCCTCGTTTCCATTGAAATGCAGAGCAGCTTCCTGGAGTGAAGTTACTTTTGCTTCTCTACATAATTTAAAGCATATTTGTATGACTCTCAACTCAGCTTTGTGGCTCATTCAGGTCGATATATTTGCTGTGTTCTGCCGCTTACTTGTGCGTCCATCTCTTGTCGTTTGATCTGGGTGAGAGTCATGCTGGAGAAGTCCATTGTATCTGCACACAAAGAACAAATTATGTTCAAACAGAGTTTTTCTTACAACTTGTAGCTTTGAACTCCCGAAAAAACAATTGGACATTTTGTATTATGATCAAATAAAGCCTAACTTTCTCACCTTTCTCTTCAATCTGGGACTTCCCAGACTTGGTGGAGGCCACGACCGCCGCGGTGGCCTGTGTGACGCCCCGGGATGCCTTCTGCAGGCGGTGCAGGTTGCCGCTGTCCTTGTCTGCTTTCACCTGGAGAGGGGAGAACAGGCAGCCATTCAAGAGACACGAGATCTACAACATGGGACCTCTGCTCATAGCTGTATTCCTCTGTTAGCTACCATTCAGACACCGGCAGAGTGAAACAATGTGCATTCTTTGCTCACCTTAGAGGCAGCCACTAGCTGTGCTGTGCTGGCAGCTATTTCATGTGAACACACCATCAACTCCTCAAACTTCCCTTTGCCCTGCACCACCAGATCAGCAGCATCCCTGGAACGACAGCGTTAGGAGGTTAACACCACTTTGTTCACAGCACAGTAGGAACCACCTGATTTATGAATGTCCTTCCAGGCTTGAGACATGATTTACTGTCTTGTTTGTTCTTTAGTTATTTCCTCGTAAAGGTCACCTCTTTCATTCTTCAGCACTGTTAAGACTCACAACACTTTTATACTCCGCGGTAAGAAGGAGACGCTCAGGAGGGAGGACTGATACTTACACCATGACCGTGGCGCCCCATCCCACTGCTTTGGAGGCAGAGATCAGGCCCTCAGTCCAGCGGGAGTTCTTGGCATAAAATTCCTTCATGGAGGCTGCCCCCTGGTGGACAAAAGAGGGAATAATAAAATATGTTTCATCAGACACATTTGAAACTCTCAGGTATGAACGCAGGGGCTGCAACTTAAGACTGTTTTTAATGATCCATTAATCTAGCAGGTAATTTATTGATTGAGCAATCATTCATTTTTCTACAACGTAGTGACAAAAGCCGTTCACAATTCCTCAGTCAAAGGCGACATATTCAAATTCTCTAATCAACATTACAAAATAAAAATATAGAATTAGTGCAATCAAATAGTAAACGCTGCAATATATGCAGCCAGCTTTTGTTGAGTGTGTGTCAGGGACTGTAAGGAGGTATCAAGCTATTTGTTCATGGTTATAAATTCTGTTTTATTTAATTAGAAAGAAGTAAACACATTTAGACATATATATATATATATATATATATATATATATATATATATAAATAAATAAAATATACAATACTGTACCATACCATATTAGATTTTACATTCTGCTCTACTGCTGCACTATTATGTTTGTATAATAACGTAAATATTATATTTATTAGTATTGATAGAATTACATTACACCTTTAAACTGTATCTTAAAGCTCATACTACACTGCACTATATCACACTATATTATGTCAATATCATATGCTATATTCTTGTATAGTTTTGTATAGTTCCTACTTATATACTACTTGTATATTCCTCTTATTTGATGTAGTCTTATTTTTTATTAATTACTCTATTTATTTGTAATTAAGTAAAATATTGTTTGTTGAATCATAAACATTTGTGAATATGAAATGTATCTATGCAGTATATAAGACTATAAAGCTGAATATTCTAAATCGGTCGGTTTGATGTTATTAGAGAAATGATGCTGAATATCTGATCGTGTGAAATCTGTTAACAATATGACAAACATCTCATTGTCACTGTTGAAACACAGAAGAAGAAACTCACCCTGCCACTCTCCACGATGTCCTTTTGCAGATTTTTGGAAGACAAAATAAGCTCCTTGATCGCCTGCATCAGCTCTGTGCAGGAGGCCAAAATCCTGCAGGAGGCGACAGAGCAGAAGAAACAAACACTGACTCACTGACACATCAAGAAAGACGGTGCTCACTACACAAAGACACCAGCTTCCTCACTATTTGGAAATACCAGTTAGTTTCCCCACCGTCTAATTATTGCATGATCAATGCACCACTGACCTAAATTCTCAACGTATCATTTGAAGCTGCGGTAGTTGTTTGTCTCTTTTCATAATTATCTCTCACAGCAGCACTGGTGCAGGAGTTACTGAGAAAACAACTGGTTTTTTTTACATTAATAATTAAGTCAGAGAAATAAAGCGCGCAGAAAACTAAAGTTTAATTGACTTCATTTGCACACAAAGAGAATAATTACACAGACTGGATAAATAAAGATGAAAACTACTTGATGACATGCACACTTACGTACGAGACAAAAGCAGCAAAATCTGAAACTTACAACGGAACGTAACATTGGGTGGTTTAGTGAAGATTTATGTGCAAGAAACAAAATCACTAAAGCTTGGAGCTTCAAGCTTTTGCACAATAATGTAATCAAGAGGTTTCTGCACTTCCTGGAGCCGTTAGTTGCACCGTATAAATAAACCAATGAGGTGTAAGACATCTGTGATATAACAATTTGTGGAGCTGCTCCAGTGACAAAGGAGTGACATTACTAAACCGACAGAATACACACTGAAGAAGAGTAATTATAGGTTTGCATGGATGAAAAACCGCAGACAAACATTACGTGCCACACCGGCTTCAGACTTCACAGTTTGCGTCGGCTTTGTGGCAGAACTGATCAAATTCTTCGCACGTCAGCCCTGAATGTGTGGCCATCTGCAACTTCACTGAAACGTTGTGTAACTGTTGTGCTGTCTTTCTCTAGAAGCATGTCTATTTCCTTTTCCAGTTCATTGCCATCCAAACCATTACATCATGTGGTCAGCTCTTTTACAAACATAACAGGAGGCTGGGCTTACTGTATCCATCTATAACATCGGTTACTCAATCTTCATATGTTTTTCAGGCTAATTAATTTGTCTTTAACCCAAGAGGTTGGTGTTGTTCTGGCTAATGATAGTTCAAGTTTATGGTTAAGTTATGGTTAATTTTTGTAAAATGTCTTGCACTCTCCTGAATCTCATTCAGATGCAATATTCTTCAAGTATTCCGTTAATTTGAGGTGACAGTAGAAAGTGATTCCAAGTCTGAAGCGGTGCATTACCTCTCATTGACTTCCATCTTGATTCCTGTATCGACCGCTCGAGAATTGTTGAGCATTTCCTGTTGGTATTTACAGAGGCACAAGGGACACAACAAAAAAAAGACACTTTGAAGTTAATTCTGCTGGAAAGTGAAACAAGGGACAATGTTTTCACACAGCTTACAAAGAGCCGCCCACTCTCTCACACACACACACACACACACACACACACACACACACACACACACAC